ATGGAATCTATGGATTAGTACTACTAATAAGTTATTAGTAGTACTAATCCATAGATTCCATAGAGCATTCTGCTCTACATATGACTCTCTCTCTCTCTCTCTCTCTCTCTCTGACATATGGTATACACTGTAATTGTGACGGGGACAGGGATATTTTGTGGTATGGACATGATGAATTAGGTGTTCCGATATAATAATCATTCGACTCGTGCAACCGACTATAAGGCATTCGGTAATGATAAATCATTCAACTCGAGTCTAATGATTGTGCTTGGATTCGACTTATTCGAATGATTTGCCCATTCGAATGATTAGTATTAGTATCATTCAAAGTCGCGTATCGCTAACTTCAGCAGCGCGACAGTCGCGCGGTTGCAGCGCGACTGCCGCGTGGCTGCGGCGCGGCTAACAGCGGCAATTTGAACGCGCTATAATTGACATGTAAGGGTGCTGCCATCTTTAATCAGCAGGTAAAGTTGTTTTAATAGTATTACATTAATAAAATGTCGGAGTCTTCGTTTTTATCGTAAGCGGCACAGAGTTTAGTTTAAATATTGAAATGTCAGCTTAAGCTGTTAACCCTGTCAGTTACTATTGACTCTATGAAATGAGCAGAGGTTAAAAAATAACATGTTCAATAACTCCTTAACCATCATACACCTTCTAAAAATCAGTAATTACACTCCTACCGCGTTTTAAGATATTTTATTTTTTATTATTGGCTTAAAAACTAATGTCGGAAAGTTGAGAATAACGTTAGAGGGGTACGTACGTAGGGGTTCACCTAGGGTCGTATTCTAGAACTCTACTCAATGCTCAAGTCAGGACTTGAGCAGACTTGAGTATGATTTCAAGCACTGGAAATACGACCCTAATGGCAAGGACTTGAGTATGATTTTCAGTGCTCACTGCAATACTCAGAGTCGTATTCTACTACTATTACTATACTACTAACGTCATTTTGAAAAATTAAATTGCTCTGTTTGTGTTTGGTTCAGTTCCCAATTAACCCACTGAAATAATAGGTTTTTACCGACTTCTGGAAGCCAAACTAACGAACATCGTATTTCAGCATAAACATGGCGACAGGTATGGCTTGGAGTTTCAGCAACGCTGCGTCAGTCTTTTCTACTACGGTGAGCCTAATCCTACTGAGCTTGTGGCGCAACCTTTTTGATCTTGTTCTTTTTAATGGCTTTGCCTTCACATTTAGCCAATGAAACAGTTGAGAAAGCAGAATTACGGATTATGGAAGAGGTACGGAATTTTGATGAAGAAAGATATGGTGGGTTGGTAGTTATATCGGCATACATATTAAAGCTTGATATTATTTTCGATAATTAAGGCCACTACATTATAAACATCTTTCTTACGTAAATACAATAAACTTTTTATGGAGGTGGGTAGTAAGACACTGATTGCCAGGAGTTCGGATATAAAGTATCGTGTTCAATTGAGGAACAGGAGAAGATATGGTTTAGATCCTCACAGGCCCCGCATGAGTTGAACAGTGCGCTGCTAAGTAAAACTGTGAATACATCCTTTACAAGACAACACTATTTTTATTTCATCCATGCTGGTAACCCTACAAACATCAGTATGACAATTTCTAATTAAAAATATCAACGCCATCTATTGTATCACTAACAAACTATATCTAGCGGTAGAAGTCAGTTGAAGCATTTTGATTATTTTATATTATTAATTAGGTCTACCTCCTCACTGTTTTCAATGTAGAGTGCGTTCCTACTAATACTGCTCTCACTTTCAAATTTCAATCGTACTTTCATAGATGAGAGTATCTATTATAATATAGAGCACCAATTTTAGACTTCAGGCAGGCAGGAGACAGTTCACATGAATAAATATTTGCGCAATCAAGACACAAAACAAGTATGGTTTATTTTGCTAGCTCTGGTGCCCGTTGTTTCTAAAGGCAACATTTTGTTTTTGAAATCCAACTGACCGTGTTCGTCGGGTGGTCTTAAGGGTCGTATTCCAGAACTCTTCTCAATACTCAAGTCAGTCACTTGAGTATTGCAGTGAGCACTGAAAATCATACTCAAGGCCTTGCCATTAGGGTCGTATTTCCAGTGCTTGAAATCATACTCAAGTCTGCTCAAATCCTGACTTGAGCATTGAGTAGAGTTCTGGAATACGACCCTAATAAGGGTCGTATTGTAGAACTCTACTCAATGCTCAAGTCAAGATTGCACTGGAAACACAAGCACTGGAATTACGACACTAATGGAAGGGACTTGAGTATGATTTCGAGTGCTTTAAACCATACTCAAATCCTGACTTGAGCATTGAGTAGAGTTCTAGAATACGACCCTGAGACTGCGTTCAAGTACCTATATCGGTTACTTACTTACGGCATGAAATGATGACCATTTGAGGTTTCGGCCTGTATCTGTGTAATTACGACGTCGTCGTAAATAATTAACATTACAGTTTATTAAGCCTATAAATTAATATTAAGCAGTGATTATTGTTAGACAAGCACGATAATAATGCCTGCAAATGACTAATTCAATAATCAAAAGAAAATTTCAATGTCAAGAAACTAAACAATCAAGTGGTATGAACTGGCTATTGTTTTTATGTCGATATTTTATTTCAAAACTCATTAGATGCTAGATGTTTATCCGCATGAACGGAAGCGTCAAATTCACCTCGCTGCGCGAGAATGCTCGTTCGCGAGCTTTCTCGCGACTGCACCTTGAGGCTGTAGTATTTCGTCGACGTTTGACGTCACACTGAGCCTGCTTTCGCGAATTCGACAGGCGTCGCCTAGGCAGCTGCGAAAATAACGAATGCGGGAGCGTTCCCGAGCATTCGCCGAAAGACGCGCGATTTATTTTTTAGCTCGTATCTAGTTTGTACGTTACACAATACAAGACATAATGTTCATTTTGCTATGTACATACAATTTCGTTACTAAAATTCGCTTCCATTCCGTTCCGCCGCAATGTAGATTGAGCCTAACATTCAAATGTATGTCATTTAAAGTAGGTAAAAAGGTCCAGTGCAAATCTGACTAACAGCAAGTTAGTCATTCTTTTGCACTGAAAAAGATACCAACTTAAACTAACTTTCATTGAAAGATATGTGGACTTATCTTTCATTGAAAGACAAACAAAATCAGTAGCACACTCCAATTTACTTGTGTAAAAATTATGATAAAAACCTATCTTTAGTTTAATTGCTAATTTTGTAGAATTTAATTCAAATTAATATTATTTTACCATGCTTAATACAAATACAATGAGTTTAAAAAAAATAAATAAGTGCGAGTTTGACCTTCATCTCACCCGGTGGAAAGTGACGATGGAGCATGCACATCTATAATGCCTATTCACTCTTACCCTGAAAAGGCCCAAAGTATATCATCCAGGGAACAAGTGTGAAGGTAGGGAATTCCACTCCACTAGCTGTTCGCCATGTAAATGTGGAAGCGGAACGCTTCGTGCGAACCCTTGGAATATCCCCAAAATAGGGATGGAAAAAGTACAGCAGAAGTCAAAAGTACAAATTTTATTTCCGAGGCCATCCTTAACTTTTGCTAATGCCTACTCCTTCATTCATTACTGATCATTATCATTCATTATATAATTTTAGTAATGCAAGCCTACATCATTCAAATAAAATATTTTTACTTGATCTTAATGTTAACACAGGCATGCCACTTTTTAAAAATTCCTTAATATACCAACTGAAGGACTTGGACCCTAGGTCATGAAATAAAAAATGTTTAAAAGTTCATTCTAAAGTGTGGCTGTGTGGTACAATACAGTATTAAAGTACATTGACAACCCTACCAAGGTTGTCTAACATTTTAGCGTTGGACATGGAGATCCTGGTTTCGATTCCCATTAGGACCTTTGTGAAAAGAACTTTTCTAAATTGGTTCTGACCAGGGTGTTCTGGGAAGTGCTCTAGAATGAATTCCGTCGCTTTGGTACTTATAGTACAGGAAATAGTTTGAGACTGGTTATGTTGTCTCGCACGTTACATACATTACCTGGGTAGGTATTATTCCAAATCTACCAAATAAAATTCATTGTATTGTCGATAAAATTTGTAGTGTATTTCTTTACTATAAGCATATTACTATGTCACATACAGACGTGTCCATTCAGTATTGTTTTCCCTTTGTTCTTTGTACCAGAGCAAAAGTATCTGAACATACCTTGAGGTAAAGGTGTTAATGAACTCCTCCTTGTCAGATTGTTGCATTGAGTTTTATTTAGAAACAAGTTACAAAGTGTATTATAAATTTGCCAAAGGGCATTAAACTTGTAGGTTGTTTGTACAATATCCCCTAACATGAGAATACACCTATATCAGATAATGAGGTGGTTGCTATCAAATGCGAGTGTAAACAAAGAAATTTATTCTACACAAACAAATCAGTTTTCATTGCTAAATGGTAGCATAATATATGTTTAAGTAGTACTTTGGTTATCTTACTAAAAATTTATATAATAAAATCATCATTGTGCATAATAATGCACCTCTATTTGTACCAATTTTTGCTAAAAATCAGTGACACACTACCTTCAAAAATGTCTATTTAAAAAAATTTTACTATCTAGCCACCATAAATAATTATATGAGGTATTCCTAGTTTGTATCCACTATTTCTAGCAAAAGTAACTTTAGCTAAGATAGGATAATAATTTGTATAAATAATACAATGAATGAAATGATAACCTACAACTAATTATGTATTTCAAGATTATTATGTGCTAAATTAAATAAACAAAGTTAGGATATTAAAAGGTCAGAGTATATATAATGTGTATATATAAAATAGAATTATGTAATACAATAGCAGTTTTCTATTGTTGTGTCCCAATTACATCGAGTGTGATTCTTTATGAACCATTGGTATTAAAACAACCTATTTTTTTTCCACCTTCCCTAACTTGGTTGATGTCCACAAATAAAATATTGGTTAGCTTTTGTATATTATGTATTTTGAAGTTGCTCACAAAGCCAAATTAAATTTACATAAATACAATTTAATGATAATTTTTATACAAGATGTAAACAGTACACATAAGATTCACAGTGAAATCATGTTGATGCAGAATAAGAGTGGAAACCGAAACAACTATACTTCCACTGCCTAGTAAAAAAAAAATTAAATTAACATTCAGTATGTCACTAGAGATCAGTTACCTGATAAATTAGTTTATTTGCACTTAAGTGATGGTGTTCCTTACAACGACTTTCAACTTTGTGACAGTACTTGCTATCCTTGTATAAAATTAACCAAATTTGTAACCATGAAATATATACATTTAAGTCTCCATTTAATTTTATTTGCTATTACTGATAGTAAAAAAATATGCATACCTAATATCATAACGAAGCTACATGTGAATGGGTAAACAATGATCTGTAGTGTCGTGGTTGGCTCCGGCACGAGCAGGGCGAGGCTACGTACAAATGCGAGAGGGCGGCCGGAGCCGGGCGGGTGGCCGGCGCCGTCCACCGGTCATAAAAATTTATCCACAATTGTCTCTTCACAAGTTACTTGGTCTAGGATGTGTAACATAACTTGCACTCTTAATGATATATCTGTTAGTTTCGTCCAGCTCGATCGCGCGAGGGACAGGCACTGCAGGGCGCGGGGCGCTGACGGCCGCTCAGTTGTCCATGGCGTATCTTCGCGTCCACTCCTTTGCGTTCCGAATCGCTTCGCTCTCGTTCACCTTCCACAGTTCGGCCACGTCGTTGGCCAGGGGATCATCTGGGTTGGGTGCTGACAGTAGCGCCTGGATCGACAGCAGTACCGTGCGGATCTGCAGCGCTGGACTCCACTTGTCCTTCAATATGTCCAAACATATACGACCCAGCCGATCTATGTTAGGATGGTATATTTTCGTTATAAACCTAACCTTAGGCGCTGACATGGGATAATCTTCCGGTAGAAATAATTCTAATTTGAACAGCCCTCCTTCAAAGGGCGAATCCTCGGGGCCCGTGACGATAACGTGGAAGTAGCGCGCATTGGTCTCGCTGGGTACCGCGCTGATTCCCGGCACAGGCTCCTGCATCAATCGCTGTGTCTCTTTGATTATTCTACGTGGTAGGGCTGCCATTTTAAATATGCGGTTTAGCGCAATTTGTAAAATGAGAGCAACTAATCATATAATTGTATAAAATATCTAACTGTCTTTTCACTGCACGTATTTACGACGATTTGTGAGGCACGTCTTTCGGATTATCCAATTATATCAGCATTTTTTCCATGATTATCATGAAAACGCGACGACAATAGCGAAGGGACTTCAATTTCACTCCACAGACAGCAAAATAGAAACGGATGCGTTCTGAAATTTGTCAAAAAACCGATAAATTCGGTTTTCAATCTAAAATCAATAAGTGCATTGTCTCGATAATTAGTGCTTATGTACTGTAATATATTTAGACACAATACACAAACAGCCGTATGTGCAATTTTTTACGTTTATTTCTGTTACATTAGAATATAAAAAAAAACTTAAGCCACTGTAGTTACGCTATTCAATACTAGGTGGCAGCATTTAGCAAAATAATGACTGTACCCTAGGTGGCAGCATTAGTTGCAAAATTACTAGTTAGTTTTGTTAATAAACGTAACTTATTATTATTAAGTTATAGTAGTAACCTTACGTTTAACAAAGACAGGCCAAGTCGTCGATGCGGAGCTACTTACGTGACTGATGGCACCTAAGCTCATAAACTATACTGAAACTCCTTAATTAGCGACTCACTTGACTGACGTGACGTCGAAATCCATCACGTGAATTTCACGTGTGCATCAAATTATACACTACATTGTAAGAACACTGTATTCAGAAGGAATTAGTGCTGTTATTTTTTCTATTATTTCATTGAAATAAATAAACTGTCCTTGTGAAGTAACTAAACAACGATAATACCACCGACTGGCTACCAATCATGTACTGTACCTACTTAGTAGGTTAGTTTTTTACTTCACCTTTTTTGTCTTACAACGTCTATTCATCACGATAGCCATAGAATTACGGCAGCTAAATACATGGCGCTTCATGAGTCATTTTCAGATACATATTCACGTAGATCCTTTCGGGTGTTTTCAATTAAGCAAATGGTAACATTTCAGCTTATTGGGATTACCACGTTATTGTTTGGTAGCTTGTCTCGACTTGTCGGGGATTGCCTAATGGTTGGTGAACATTTTGCGTTTTCATTTTATCGAATAGGCGGGTCTTTGCTTTTTAGGTCACTACGATATCGACCCCTTTTTAGGTACACTTTGCCACGTTCTAAGCTAAGTAAATGACGTAGGATACAATTTTTGATAAGGAATTGTGACACATTTTACACTTCAGGTTGGTAGGTACATAATATTAATAAGAACTAGTGTTCTTCAGTTTTTATATACATTCAGAATCAAAATAATGTAAATTCTGTCTATTTAATAATATCCATTGATGTGCTGTCTGTAATGGATTGTTTTGGAAAGCTGCTCACAGTTCACATTAAGCTAATTAAATGGCGAATGGCGGTAAGTATAAGATAAAAAACCGAAAAGGCCTGAATCATGATTTTTCATAATAGTCAGCCCATTATATAATTGTTAAACTCAATCATTAAAGTGCTCCCGGTATCTAAAGTAATCTTATTTTAAGAAAGTAGTACCTTGTTAAAAAATTATATCTACCGGCAGTTTAGTCAGATTTATTTGCTGGTTTTGTATATGTTCTTTAGAGGGTATATGTACACGGCGTGTTTTATACTTGCCGACGATGACGTGCGCATACATGCTGTAAAAGTGCGTCATGTGCGTACACGCGTAAACGCGCTGTAATTGCGTGTTTGTATCGCTATAGCGTATGATCAGAGATAGTTTTCACTTTAGTTTTGTTTGTTAATTTTAGCTAATTTTTGAAATGAAGCAATTACATGAAATTTTATATAATTTTATACTATATTATACTATACTATATTATATATATATATATATATATATATATATTATACTACATATATTGAAGAGAGAAACTGTGGTGTTTGTGGATTAAATTGCGAATTTTCTAGAAATCCAATCAAATCGATAGGTACCGCCAATGAACACTATACCAACTTAATTTTTGGACATGTTCTGTTTTTATTTTGTATTTCTTTTTCTTATTTTTTTTTACAGAGCATATTTTGTTTTTTTTTATCGAATTTTGTTTTGTGTTTCTTTTTTTTTTTCACATAATTCGGGGAGCATCATACCAATCTGACCAAAAACTAAAGTTAGCGTAGCGTCCATTGGGGATATCGAATTATATCCATGTCTAGGTAAATCATCGCCAGGACCAGCCATAAGATCATTGTAGGCCCGACACATTTTCCTCAACGGGTTGTAAAAACAAGTATTATTAGTAAGTATACACATTCAATACAAATGTGAGCGTCGTGGATTGCACTAAACGTGATGTCAAAGTTAACATAGGACAGAAGCGTTGAAGACTTAATGCTGCCGTGAAGTAATTTAAGTAAATAAATTAAAAATTTATGTAAATGTAGAAGGTCCTGTACTCTACATCTAGAAATCAAGGACATAACCTAGTATTTATGTGGTCTGTGGACATAACCTTAAGGTAAATCTTTTAAAGTATGATAACCTTTCTTCGTAACGCGACAATTTGCGACTCATACGTGATCTGTAACTACCTATTTTGAGCTGTTTGATGACAAATCCTAACATTTAGTAAGTTTTTGATACTAGAATGTCATAATGATCCCTAAAAGTAAGCTTCTCACACGCCCAAAGTACTCGCACAAGTAAAGACTTGTGCGAGTACTTTGAGTACGAGTAACCAACTTTCTGTGGAGTGATACACTCTCAATTACGTAATCATAATGTACTTTGTGTCGCTTGTTAGCAAAGGACATAATAAAGCATTTATCGACGTGTAGGTACATACTGTTCTGTTTGCAACCTTGATAAACTCTTTAAGATCATCGACATACAAGAGACAAGGGCAGGTTAACTTAGTGACCAAGTCATTTATAAAAATTATAAAAATAAATGTCCCAGGTGAGAGCCCTGGGGGCTCCGAGTTTAAATGAATAGCACTGGATTTGAGACCCTTGATGGCAACCAGATTACTGCGGTTCGTCAAATACGATCTCAATCATCTAAAAGACTACCACGAACCCCGTACCATGAGGACTTCGACAAAGCATACTTTGTCGAAAGCTTTCCAGAAATCGGTGTATATTGCGTCCACTTGTACACCTTTAGCAAAAGCTGAACACTGGTACATTTTATATTCGAGTAGGTCTGTTATAGTAGATTTACCTTTCACAAAATCATGTTGCTGATTTGCGAGTGATGACTTCACACGAAAGTAATATTTTTAAAGCTTGCAAAGGCTATAGTGTCGTAGTGTCGTTACGACATAAAAAAGAAATTGAATCTGAAAATGTAAACACTGGCATTTTCAAAAAGAAAATCTGACTTGGAATAAATTATTATAAATAATAATTTCTTTATTAATTTTCAGCACAAGCAATTAATCTATTTTATTGATTGATAGATGGAGGTACGGCAAAAAACCGTTAAAGTCAAAAACAAAAACAAGCACACAGAGAAATTTGTAACACGATACGTTTCGTAGCTCAGCAGTGCTAGCATTGGGAGAGCGGATCGAAGGAATTTCTGTTTGTGTTTGTTTAATTTTTGTATCAATACTAGCAACAAGCCATTATTACTTTACGCTTATTTATTACTTTATTTCCATAATAACTTTATTGTGGTGGTAGCTCTGAGAAACAGTATAAATATATTATTTTATTTTATTCTAGATCTGTCTCGCTCTTGCGAATTCCATAAAAAAACACTCAGTTATATAATAATTGAGGCTATCAGCGCAATCAATCAAAAGTGCTGGAAACCCTTGAAATCCATATAAAACATAGGCTCCCAAAGTTTTTGGTTCACCGCTCACTTATGCAAGATAAACAAATTTCAGCGCCCACCACCACAAAAAACAATTAAAAACATGATTTTTTTATATTAACTTAACACAAAAAATAACATGGACAAATTATATATGTAGTGTAGTTTATACACATAATTTAGGTTCTTTTTTCAAATGCGGCAGCACTCTTTGGACAGCATCAACATTCGAGGAGCCGCACCGCCCCCATAGGACTCTTCAGCGCCCACTCTGGGGCGATAGGGACCACTTTGGGAAACTGTGTACAGAAGATAATGATCGATTTAAAATTAGTCATAATCGTAATATAACCAATTTACAATTACTTTTTATAGGTGAAAATAGCATTATTCTTATAATAATAATATAATATTATTATATAAGTATATATTCCTCCGCCAATAAGATCTGTGCATACTAAGTTTACCTTTACGAAACACATTAAAGAGGCTATTTTACGCAAACAAAAACTTGGTATTCCGAAGCGCTTTGAGTCTATGGTATTGCTACCTTCTAACACTAACATCAATCTAATTATTCTGTTATTATTACTATGTGGACACAAACTAACAGAACTAGCCATAAAATTAAATATGATTCTATATACATTTAATTCTTTTGATATACCTTATCACACACTCACAGCCGCGCAGCGGTTTCGCCGTTTTCTGCTTTTCTCGGGCGTAGCAGAATATCAGTATTATATATATATCAGATTGTATATACGTTGCTCTAATTGAGCAGCAATTACATTGAGCTACGGCCGTTTTATCACCGGTTCGTACTTTTTGTTATTTGATCTTTTGTTTTTAAAATTTAAAAAATATGATATCTTGTTTTAATGCTTATATTGTATTTATTGTAGTGTTACTTATTTTTTGTAATATTGTTTTTTTTGGATTAGTTTTTTTATTTATTTCGCATGTGTGTGTTTTGTGATAAATAAACCATTTATCTATCTATTTATCTATCTATTTATCTATATATTTGGATATTGAATATTTACTTTAGTATCATTTAAAGTCATGTTGTAGAAAAAAAAATGAATTGTGTAAAACACTTTTGAAATGATTGATTAGAGTACAATCGATAACAATAATATGGTAACACGAGCGATAGTGATGGAGGGGGTATTCGAGTATGTGGATATAGAAGCGGTATAATCAAAGAAACATATATTTTTATTATAGTTTAATTAAACAACACGCAAACAATGCACACATTCACTTGTTAACCTAATCCCCTACGATATTTCATTTTGTGAATAGTATGACCTTAAGTACAGAATTTGTTCAACCAAGAGGTGGAGATAAGGAGTCATAAGATA